GGTGCCTGTTCGGCGTCTGTGACAGAATTGCAAGTTCATTCACGAGTGGGAAATGTAAAGCGCATTGTTTATGACAACAAAACATCTCAAAAACCGGGACAGTTTTGTCAAGAAGTGAAGCCGAGCGACTGGAGTGAGGTCGGTTCCTTACCTGTCATTTCTCACAACTTACCTGCCTTTCTTCCGAAGTTCTTTATCTCCAGGATACGCTTCTCCATGAGAAGAAGTTATCTAGAGTAAGAAAATGTTTCGAGAAAGGGAGACAAGGCGTAGGAAATGACAGGATAAAAACCGACCTCACTCCAGTCCGCTCGGCTTCACTTCTTGACAAAACTGTCTCGGTTTTTGAGATGTTTTGTTGTCATAAACAATGCGCTTTACATTTCTCACTCGTGAATGAACTTGCAGTTCTGCCACAGACGCCGAACAGACACCTGTTGGAGAATTAAGTTTCAAATAAGGTTTGATTTCCGAGCACAACTTGATGGAACTGTTTGATTTTCTTATGAGGCGGCGTTTATCTGAATCCGAAAGCAAACGAACGATCTCCAAGGCTCAATTTTACTCCATATCCTGCACAATGCTCGAAGAAATTGTTTACTCTGAAGCAAACCTGGCCCGAAATTCGGGCAGTGCGACTGCCTCTCAACTCTTTCACGATTTTTGTTACCATTTCCCTTTATTTAGATTATGATGACGGTTTCCTCTCGTTTTCACCTAAAGACGAAGTGTGGATAACAACAAAAAAAATTTAATCGAGCAGGAAAGAAAGGCAACAAGAAAGTATGGGGTGGCTTTATAATTATGCGGAATAGGTCAGAGCGGCTTTTTCGAAAAATTGCAGAAAAACTTCCTTCAAATTTCAAAGCTGGAACTTTGTGCTGGTGTGCAAAAGAGCATTTATACCTACATCCTTTTCCATATAGAAGCTTCTTCGAACGCATCTTAGGAAAAGAGTTTTTGCAGAAAACATAGGTGGCTTTATAATTATGCGGAGCAGTGTATCTTGCCACGCAAGCAGGTCTGCATCAACTTATTGTGTGGCATGCATAATTGCCACTATGCCCGACGTGGTGCCAGGGTCAACCCTATGTTGCTACAAGTAGCAACGGGGGGGTCGTATTTTGATGAGTTTGTAGGGGGGTCGTACTTGCTTCGGTTGTAAGAAGTTGCATGTGATGAGTGGGGAGCGGCGCGGGAGAAAATTTGCCGTTTCAGCGCGCGTATATACCCCCTAGAAAATGGAGCAGTTGAAATATGGGTAAAATATAGGGAAATTGTAGGGAAATGTAGGGAATTTTTGCGGTTTTAAGGGAAGTATATACCCCCCCCTCGACGGTAATTTTTTGGGGTAAAAATTGTTTTGAAAGGAGGGGGTCGTATGAAACATTTCATGAGGGAGGGGGTCGTAAAAACTTTTTGAAAAGTAGCAACGATAGGACCGACCCTGCGTGGTGCGAAAATGGCGGTATACACAGTTACCGCGCTGTTGTCAATGTTCAAAGTGCGGCTTAGTTGCTTAGGGTGGGTTAACTTCACAAGAAATGAGCTGCGCCAGGAATGGGGCAGTGAAGGGTGGTACCCATAATTATAGTAGTGTTGCCATACGCTGAATGAGTGCTGCTATTTAGGCGAACAAATATTTCAACAAATCTATCAGGCACAGAAGTAATACCACACATATGAAAAGTGCCGAGGTTTAAAGAAAGACGAACAAGACGAACGTGCACTGCAAGTGCTGCTATCGTTGCTACTTGGACTAAAAAATCGACAGTAAAAGAGGTTCGCAGGGGTGTGCTGTCGTTTTGCAGCGGGCTTAGAACAAAAAAAACTCATGCAAAAACATGGAGAAAGGTGCGAATAAGCTGAATGCCGGAGAGTGTAGGTTTTCTTACAGCGCTTCTATTATGATATCATAGTGTAAGTTGGGATCGAATATTCCTCGCGGATTGTGGAATATTGAAATTTTTGGAGACGTCGTATGATTTTGCAGCGCACTGTATGAGCGTGAGATAGGAAACCATTGTGACCAGCGTGCTTCATTCTTCAAGGTATTGTAGGACCAAAACAAAATGGACAACCCTATTCTGGCAAAATCTCAGTTTTTTTTTCTTCGTAAGACCTTGGAACGCAAGGAACTTTGCTGGAACCATCGCTAAATGCTTATGCTTGCATATTTTAAGCCACCTCTTGCGTTCTGATATCCCAGCGCTATGCCTTCATGATTTGCTACCTTTTTATACTGATACTAGTAAAGGGACTATAATTAGTTATATGAGTAATAAGATTTTATGAAATGATGGAATTCAGAAGCCAGGATTTATAAGTCAGCAGAACTCATTTCAATTAACTTGTGAGGAAATAGAAGAAAAAATGAGTAATGCACTCATAATCATTTTCGCCATAGTCATCAAAAAGTTCGTTCGGCCAATGTGCAGCTGATCATAATGCGTCATCTTTGCAGCGACCCTACCCTCCAAACAATTTTCGTCAAGTTCGACCACGAAACCTCGTTAACTGGTGAGTCAGCGAAATCGGTGACTAAACTTTAATAATCGTGCTAGCTCATCTCGCACTTTGAATAGCGGGTAATGCGAATTGAAAGCTCGACAAATGGAATATTTTGTCAAAGTCCTTGGCACCTCTTCGACTTTCTCATTCCCTTTGATTCGGAGACTTTTGACAGTACAATCGGTCATTGCTCCTAATGAAACGTTTTTCTCTCGTCGCGAGCGCATTTCTAGTTCTATGACTCACTGGACGCCCAAGAACCCTTCTTTAGCAGAGGTCAGTCGTTTTTCATTGCCGTATTCGCAAAACAGCGCTCATCCCGATACTATAAAAGCGTATCAACTGCTTACTGTTTCAAACATGAAGTACGCACTTCCACTGCTCATTGTATTTTGTCTCCAGTTCGCAGTTGCAGAACGGTGAGTGGGATTACAATCCGCTCAGTTCATCGGACCTATTATACTTATACTTTTGCTCGTTTTTACAGGCACTTTCATATTTTATATGTGTTTTCATACAGCTTTATAGCGCTCACCTCTCAATTGTTGCTAATATTTGCCATTTAGTTGGAAGCGAGGCGGATATGGAAGACCGTATGTGCCACCGCCACCGCCGCCACGCCGCCGCCACCACCGCCACCACCGCCACCACCGCCACCACCGCCACCACCGCCACCGCCACCACCACCACCACCATCCTATGGTCCACCACCGTCCAGCTACGGACGCCCGTATCAACCTTATGGAGGAGGAGCAGGCGGAGGATTCCCAACTGGACCTTCCTTCGGAGGTTCTTCAGGAAGTCCATTTGGAGGAGGTATGGGATCATTTGGTGGTAGTGGCATGCCAGGTATGACGGGTGGAATGCCTGGGATGTCGGGTGGAATGCCTGGAATGTCTGGTGGTATGCCTGGCATGTCAGGTGGAAGAAGTGGAATCAGTGGTGGAGGTAGTTTTGGTCCTATGTCCGGAGGAGCAGCAGGACGATTTGGGACAGGCGTACTGGCAAAAATAGAACCCGAGACAAGAGTAGAGCCCGCAGCAGAAGTTGGACTTGGAGCAGAGCCCATGGCAACTGGAGCTCCCATGGCAGAACCCGGACTTTCCGCAGAACCTGAACCGTCAGCAGAATCAGAGCTTAAGAACGAAATTCTCAGGTGGAAGTGGTGAACTGTTTACTTTTGTTGACATTCGTTATCATTATGTCGCCGGGGTTCTAATTAAGGAAGTTACTTATCGAGCTGTGTATTCACCATTCCAAGAAGAGGTTTTGTGCGTGAGGTCGCTTTACTGATGCTGTATCTATACATATATTGGATATATATTTATGTAATGATATGTCGCTTTCCTTGCTTATGGGTTTTTTGAAGTAAAATAAAGTCATTTTGTGCAGATTGTAAGCCGATCTTCCACAGTGCACCCCAATCTTTGCAGGCATACTGCATTCAGCTCTTTGAGACATTCATTCATGTAATAGTGAAGTATAAATGCAACATAAGAATTGAGATCATCGGCCGTCGATCACGGGTTCATGACTGTGGTAACCCGTGGTGCATTGACACAAAACTGTCGTTTTCGTGTATCAAAGAACCGTAGTTGCCTCCATTGGAGGTGAATAAGCTCTCACGAGAGTACTCGCGATGGATTCGTCGAACAATGTAATCCACAGGCAAACCTTTGGTCTCAACCATCTGTAATCATCATTTTAGCTTAGTAGACGAAGCGAGCAACCTCTACAATGACAACTTGAAACGCTAACAAACCCTTTTGTGGAGAGCCAAAACTAATAGTCCACAGCATGCGGCAAGAAAAAAGTAGATTCCAGCTCCAAAGTATGAGCGCAGATTAGGGAATATCAAAACTTCGACCATCCCCACAGCAGCAGGCAAAGCTTGAGTCAACTAAATTCATGATAGGGTGTTTTATTCTCATTTTGCTTCACTCTCAGAAAATTGAAGTTCTCAGAAGTTCCGAGCCTGAGTCGGAATTGAGTCACGAACCTGAGATATAGCAGCTCGCGTGTTGTGAGGGCAGACTTCAGATATCATCATTGGTGCCATGATTAAAAGGCCTAAATTTACAGCACACTGACCCATCGTAGCCCCGAGAACACTGAGTAACTGTGACGACCTCAGATTCTGAAATGGGCATTGTATTAGGTTGTGCAACAGCTGCCCACCGTTTTATTCAGGCTCATGACTCTTTTATTTTAATTTTTGCTGATTATTTTGGACTAATACGATGTATTCTGAAAGCGCGCAGTCTCTTTGGGTTAGAACTCATTCACTGAGTCCAAGATGCAGAATGATTGTTCGCACTCAGTTCGAGTTCTAGTAGCTACATGGTTTCGGTCCACTGCTTGCTAGAGGTCAAAAATAGAATATTTTTAGAATATTAAGAAATTAAAAAATAACCACTTCTCAAGAAGCATTGAAAAAGCACATGTTTTCAAAAATCGCTTCTTTACCAATTGACAAAAGGTTGGTTCTACTCCGTCGAAGATAGCTTCACAATTGTGATGCTAATATTTAAGGAGCTCTCCTCGCTGTGTAGGGAACTTACAATTAGATCATTTTTTGGAGAAGACACACTTGTCCATAGATTTGAAGGAACTGATTTTTCTAGTCTATACGAGCTTCTTCTAACAAAGCAATACCTAGGAATTCATTGGCGAGAGAATAACGTGAACTATCTTACCGTAGCACCGAAATCGAATATCAGCTCTGCCAATCCCCAATGCAACCCACTCGACGGCGCATAACACGGTAATAAGTATGAAGACCGTGCGGCGTCCACATCGTTCTATGAAAAGTGGCGACACGAAGCACAGCGGTACGGACACAACGCTGATCACCGTCATTGCGGAAGTGGCCTGAAAATAGTTGAGATTACCTAATCTAGAGAAGGCTTGTTTTGAAAGTTAGATACTACCTCGCCATAGAGCGCGTTTTCCAAAGTAGGGTCGTCGCAAGATGAATAATGCAATTTCAAAACCCATTTGGTTTTGTAAATGTAATGCATTTTAGCTGCTACACCATCTCTATATGGAATGGGAATTTTGCGCACCTTCATTGTTAACTTTGTGAAGAATCATTCTCCTGAACGGCAGCTTCGCAATAGAGCTCTATATCGCTTGGAAAGTGAAGTTGGTTGAATTCCAAAACGATCTTAGTTTTGTAAAGAAGAAAAATTATGAGGAATGTTCCAGAATTGAATGTGCGGCAAATCTGCGAAGAATAGCCCCTCACCATTACTTGAGCGAAAATCCGCGACCGAGTCATTTCTGCTGTACTGACTCAAAGCGAGAGGTCACGATAAGATTGTACTAGGTTCATGGTGGAATTGGGCCCACGATGGGATCCATTTCCTTGCCTGTTGACCTCCTTATAATGGAACGAGCTAGCAACCAATTAGGAGGTCGTTTGCACATGTTATGCTGATAGCCTCTATCATTTCAGCAAGCATCATGCTTTGATTGATCACGCATCCCATGAAAAGTTATAGGATACACTCTGGAAGTGGAATATCTCGTCACATTGATAATCGAAGGGCTGATGCTGGGTGGAGACAGGCCGTGGCGGGAGCTCAGAAAGGAGGTGGCAAGCCCTTGTACGCTGCAACTAGCGCACCTTTGACCACAAAAACGCAACATTTCGTTTCCTTGGGCCCCTGACTACTGCTTCCAATGGTGCATGTACTTCCACGCTGCATACGCACTTTATCGTAATCTCTCGCTTTAACACTTGAAACGCCCATTCAACTGCTCAAGGACTTCGAGAAACAAAAGAGGTATGATAAGGTCTCGGATCAACAGTTTTCGCTTGAAGGCAACATTGCGATGGCTACGAGCCACCTATGGAGTGTATGCGACTTAATGCTCTCTCTAGCCCACCGTGTCATCGTATAACTTCGTATAATGTATGCATGCCTGAGAGGGAACATCTCCATAGGCTGTGTAGATTATGAAAATAAAGCCCGAAAAAATGTTCGTGGGAATTCCGATTAATTTTTTGTTCGTATCTCATAATCTGTTATAACATTTTATCATTTTGACTCACAATTCAGAGCTCATTACTATGCTTCAATTTGCTTTTGAATATCAGAGCAGACTCACTTGAGACTGCGACATGCCGTAATTCGTTCAACCATGAAACAAGGTACTGTAGCTTCATGTTAAGTGCAGAACATGTGGGCACGAAAGCACAGAGCAGAACCAGGAAGAAAGAGTACCTGTAAACGAAGAATATAATGCTCATATCATTTATGCATATAAGATTTATGGGTGGAAAGAGATGGGGAGTGAAAGTTGATGTATTGTATTTACAGGGTGTAGAGGCAAGCGGTTCCACACCACTTCTCTCCAAAGTGAAGTCCTCAGACATACTTTTGTGCCGTGGAGTTCAACTGTTGTCGTAAAGCTGTTGAAATTGGTCGTAAAATTAAAGGTCACTGCTGAACCTCTGGTACTTTTGAAATTCCAATCCTAGGCTTCCACTCTTTGAAAATTGCCATAATCCTAGGCTTCCACTGGAAAATTCCGGAGGGATTATTTTGGAACCAAGGGAAGGAGAAAATCTGCAATCAACCAAGTTCATGAAAAGAAGACGCAAAGTGAAAGGGATACAGGATCCTAAGAAATTGAAGGCTTCGGCTCTGCAGCGCATGTTATTACTAACTATTTATGACATCGAGAATGAAACATGAGCTCTGGTAAAGCCTGGCTTATTCAGATTTTCACGAAATTCGCTCAAATCGTGCATTAAGGAAACAACTAAGGTGAAAACTTGAAAGAAAATAGTTTTGAGAGAAAAGCATACCTATATGTGCCGTGCCTCAGGATATCCCTGAGTGATATACTCTTGTGTGACTCGTAGATTCTTTCGGTCTCCATCTCTTCGATCGCGTCATCTGGAAAGTACTGAATACTGAATAAATGATAATTAAATAATAATATTCACTAAATAATAATACTATTTTATGTATACTTTAATTGCTATCTTGGACATATTCATGGGCTGGTGCCGATGGGAAGCGGGAGCATCGTTGCGATGAGGGCCCAAACAGCCAACAACCCACTCCCTAGTGTTAAGTCCGAGTCAAGGAAAGGGGTGGGGGTGGAGGAAGGGGTGGGTGAGCATGTTATACATTCTCGAAAGTTCTCCCTCCTTCTGAGCTCACTGCGCAGCTAACCCCCCCCCCCTACACGAGCGCCCAGATCCTACACACATTTGTAAACAAAGCATTCTTGCGAAAAATTCTGCCCACATTCAATTGAGAAGGTACACTTTTAGGCGGTTCCTGTTTTTAGCTGTTGTATAACGTTGCAGTTTGCGGTCTGGAAGTGATTACAAAGGTGCTGGACCATGAGCAAAACACTTTGTCCCACGCGGGAATCGAACTCGTACCGTTCGCTGTCTGGCTTTCTGCTTTTTGTTGTGTTTTGTTTCTTTATTTGACCCATTAATCCAAAATCCTTATGATAACATCCGCGCTTCAAACTCGTTAATTGGTCTCGAAAACGGATCTTGGACTTCATCACTCTGCCTGTCACGTAAATGTCTACGCGGCCTCCTCGGCTCTAGCAGAGATAGCGCAGTGCGTGTGGGCGCCGCTGACGCTGCGCCGTCTGCTGTGGCAAGATCGAATTTCGTGTGCCTCGGAAAGAGCGTGTGATGAATCAATTTCCCCGGCATACAAGTTGATGGTGAATGTAATCTAATCCTGATGCTCACTTTTTATTCAAATACACATAGTACTTTGGGTGGTGACATGAGCATGCATCAACAATTGAAATATCCTTCGATAACCAACCTATGTTGTAACGATCTCCATAGTAGAACTGTAACGCCGCTCTGGCCTCTTCTTCTTTATGCTCCTGAAACAATACACATGGATTACCTTTTGCCCATTTCAGGCAAGAGACTGAGTATGACAAATGAAGGTGAGTGAAAGCACCTGAATGTATAGCTGTTTGGGACTCTGTGGAAAATGGATGGCTATCATTAGATGCCCAATAGCCATCACTCCACAGATCGCCGGGAGCACACACCACAAGCTGTCGGAACCGGCAAGACTTGGAAGGCACAGCGGTGTGAGTACTAGCACTGCGATCACACCACCGGAATTAACAACCATGGATGTGAATCCTGAAGGAGAACAGAGACTTGGCTTGAATACTTATGTTGCTCTTTCTTATTCTGCAGCAGGCAAAAATTAGCCACTAGGAGTTGTTTGCCGCTTTTATGCACCTAAAGAATGTTCGAGAAGAACCTCGCTTGTCATCAGGACTGCATTCGGCCAGGTAGATGAACAGCACAACTTTGAGTGCCGATAGGAGACCACTTATGAAGTGTCCAAGCACGAAGAACTCAAAGCGGAGTGTAACGAACGACAGAATCATTGCTCCAGCGCCAATAATTCCCAGCGAGCACCTAAAATGTTCAGCTGTGGACCGCAATAAACTAAATCTGTCGCTAAAGAGATGAGAAATCCAATGGTTAACTTCTTTTCGAGAACTCGACTTAAAGGCATGCCCCAGAATCAAGAAAAAAGAAAACAACCACAAAAACGCTTAGGTTAAGGGCATCACTCCCTTTTCGCAATCGGACCTTGCGCTGAGGGAAGGTGAGAGACTAAGCGCGCGAAAGGGGTGTGAGGCGAGAGAGCTGCAGATGGTGAGAGAGTGGTCAGACAACAGCCTGATAAGAGAAAAAATCTGCAGCTTTAGCAGCTTACTTTGCAAGGCCCAAGCGCTCTTGTCGGTTGGTTTCCGTGCACGGGAACGCCACATTTGTGATTGTCCTCTAGGGCTCCATACTAAAGACCGAAGGGAAGCGTTCACACGAACTCTGCCTGGCTTGTGCCTTTAAAGGCAGAATTTACAGCGTAAAGACGGCCCACTAGAAATCAAGGTAAAGTTGGTCAGTGATGCAGGGATGAAGAAGAAACTTTAAAAAACAACCTGAAACAGAGAAACTTGCCTATTGATCTGCGCGTTGGGCGTGTACCATCAGTGCTAATCTCTCAACGCTGGCGCGCTCTCTGCGAAACCAGCCTCAACATCCGCCTCAGAGGTCGAAGAAGTGGAAACCTACTAACGGAAAACTGGGCGTCTAGAGCTAGACGGCGAAGCTGTGGGCGGGCGAGTGTTAGCGGCGCGGCGGAGGCCATGCTAGATCGCCGGGGGTTATTCATCGCTGCGAATTGCGTGCTGGTCCGCACCCTAAGGCGGTCCGCCCAGTTTTCCGTTAGGTAGGTTTCCACTTCTTCGACCTCTGAGGCGGATGTTGAGACTAGTGGGGCGATGGGAATGGCGCAATGTTACAATGTTACAATGTGCGTGTCCATGAAAATTCTACCGCTTAAATCTTATTGACCAATCGTTGTAATGTCCATCTATCTCAAAGTATGAACTCAACATCGACAGCACTTGTTGAATAATTTGACGTCCGTTCACGTTTGCTCAGATTCACTACTTTCATCCTTCACAAGCATGCTTTGATTGATGAGCCCTGCGCTAATGTTGCTTTCCCACATCCAGTATTTGTCTAGTATCTCTTCATCTAAAGTCAGGCCTACTTCAAGGACTACAACAGCACCCCACGAATGAACTTTACTCTATGTACCACTTTTGCAGTGCAATGGGGTGAGATTGAAGTGCACTATTACTATTACTCGATCAGGGAAAGTGCAAAATAGTGCGCCGAGTGGATACCAATTAAAGTACATTAACCCTTGTTCTTTGACAGCGTTAAGTGGTTTTATACCCTAAACTCATTTTTTGGTGCAAAATTCATGATTGGTGATCCACATCGGGATAATGTTTATCAAAAATAAAATAAAAACAGACCTTATAACTATCGCTGTTTCTTTCCTTCCGA